AATTGCAGTTAGAACCAACCACGGAACAACTGATTGGTTAAAGATTGTGAAAGGAGTGGACAAGATTGTATATTGTCATCTTATTTAACTTATATGTAGAGTACATCATACGAAATTAAGATTCCTGGGAGAAATATCAACATCTCTGATACACTGATACCACTCTGAAGGCAGAAAGTGAAAAAGTAAGAAGCCTCTTGATGCAGGTGAAAGAGGAGAGTTAAAAACTGGCTTGAAGTTGAACATTAAAAAAAATTAGATCATGGCATCTTGTCCCATCCCTTCCTGGCAAAGAGAGGGAGAAGAAATGGAAGCAATGTCAGATTTTATATTTTTGTGCTCAAAGATCACTGTAGACAGTGACTGTGGCCAGGAAATTAAAAGATACTTGCTCTCTGGAAGGAAAGCTATGGTAAATCTGGACAGCATACTTAAAAGCAGAGACATCACCCTGACAACAAAGGAGAGTATAGTCAAAGCTACGGTTTTTCCAGTAGTAATGTACAGCTGGCAGAGTTGGACTATAAGGAAAGTTGAGTGCCCCAGAACTGAAAGTATCATTTCAAATTGTAGAGCTGGAGAAGACTCTTGAGAGTTCCTTGGACAGTAAGGAGATCAAATCAATTGATACTTCAAGAATTTACTCTGACTATTCATTAGAAGGACAAATACTGAAGCTGAAGCTAAAATACTTTGGCCACATAATGAGAAGACAGGACTCATTGGAAAAGACTCTGATGCCGGGAAAGATTGAAGGTAAAAGGAGAATGGGATGGCAAAAGATGAGATGGACAGTGTCATGGAAGCAACAAACATGAACTTGCTCGGACAGAATTTGGTAAGACAGTGGAGGACAGAAGGGCCTGGTGGAATATGGCCCATGGGGTCTGAAGAGTCAGACCAGAATGAACAACTAAACAAGCACAGTGACTGATCCTTCACCAGCTCTGTCCAAAGTGGCAAGGATGAGACTAGCTTGCTCCTGTCACAACTGTGTTACAAGGGACCAGGCTTGAGATTAGCAACTTTTCTTCCCACAGAGGGACATCTGGGGGTCATGCTACACAAGTGATGTAGGAAGTGCTGAGGTCCAACTGTTGAAATGGTTTGCAACCACAGTACCACTGAGGAGCCAGCCCCCTATCCTCTCCCTAAGGGGTAAGAAGAAGAAGGAAAAGAAAAATGAAGGAGAAAGAAGAGAGGGAGAGAGGAAGGAAAAAGGGGGTAGGGTAGAGCAATACAAACATGTAAAATGCATAAAGGGGAAGGAAGTATAAGTGTGTCAAGAACCTATATACTCTGTACTTGGGCCTCAAGGACGTAGAATGAGTATACACAGCATAAGGAGGCAGTCTTTTGACTAGGTTTGAATCTCATCTCTTTGACCTGTTACCTGTGTGATCTGGGACAAGTCCCTTAAGCTCTCTGGGCCTCAGTTTCCTCATTTGTAAAGTAAAAGGGTTGGATGAGATGACCATTAAGGTCCCTTCCAGCTCTATATCTATGGCCCTATGAACCCATATTTTAAAACACAGATGATATAATCAGCTTCTCAAAATTTTTATAAAATTTCACTTTACACACAACATGGTTGACCTAAATTGTATCTATTCCAATAGAACAAGGATACCTTACAGGTATCTCACCTATTCCATCTATGTAAAACATACTTCCCACTAGTGCCTTAGTGCCCCCAACTAAACCCACAACCTGGCTCCAGCATCTTCCACTGGTCACAAAGAAAGAGAACTGTTTAAGAACATGTGTACTGATCTGCACGGAAGTCTACTGGAAAACTTCAAAATGCATCTCTTACCAACTGATGCTGGCTCACCAGCAAGAGACACTTACACAAAGACGCATAACATGACTAAACAGCCTTCTTTTAGAGATCCATTCACTGTTTTTCACCAGAATTTTGCTTATACTCTATGCTAAATATTTATATATTTATATAACATCCACCTAGTGATCTCAAAGTGCTCTGCCACTACCAAACCTATTTTGCACACATGAGCCATCATGGTTCTTAGTGCCCCTATACTAAATGGCTTACCAGTCTCAATTATACCACAAGAGATATGAAAAGCTGTCCACTAAAGGAAAGGAATTTAAGTTCCTGTTTATATTTCCTTAAATTCACCACAAAGATTCTCCCCTTCTGTCCCAAAACCACAAAATCAATGCTTTGCAACAACACATTCTTAACAATTTTGCTTCATTTCCCCTTACAGACAAAGCAGACAGTTCCTTAAAATGGCAAGTCAGTTCCCTTTGAACTTTCAAAATGGAAATATCTCTGTTAAACTTCAAACAAAATTCTGATTTCTGAGTTTGATTCCTTGATCTCTGATCTGCAACCTTCAAAAGTAATGAGATGTCAAAAAAAAAAACCCAACTCATCACTCAATAATTTAAGCATTCATATGAACCTTCAAAGTAGTCACCTAGGGAAGCCAGTTATTCCAATGTTTCTGCCACTGTTCAAAACATTATTGAAGATACTGTTTTTAAAACTGCCTTTAGGACCAATTTAAGAACCACAAAAAAGTCTCAGTGCTTTATAGAGGTACATGGCTTTTTGACCAAAAAAAACCACCCCAGTATTTTCCAGTTTAATCACCCATATTACTCCACCAGAAACCTGCCTACAAATGAAAAAGTTGTAGTCAGCAGCCTCAAAAGGAAGAAAATTTGCTACAACTGAAAATATTCACAAGAATGTATTTTGATGGGTAATTCCAAAAGAAGAGCTCCAAATACGCTGCAAGAATGTTAGGCATACAAACTATGAAAGTTTTGAAGAGCTTGCTCCCAAACACTTTGCATGTATAAGTTTTAGTCACTTTACTTTAAAGGCATAGATCGTAACAACAAAAATAAACTCATTGATTTACTATTCTCGCATTGTCTAAGAGAATATCTCACTGGACAGTTTACTTCATGCAGAACTGTTAATGTTCAGAAAACAAACTGCACATTCAAGAAGAAATCTACCAGGCACATTCTTTAGTTCAATTCAACTAGTTCATTTTGCATAAAATTACTCAACTAGTTTTGTTCCCTAGTTGGGAACAAAAATGGAACTCTTTAAGATTGATTTACTGAAGATGGACCAAATGATCCAGTAAAGAAATAGTCACACACAAAAACTGAAAATGAGCAAATATAAACGAGTAAAAGAGACTGTTTCAATCCAGTTGCTTCATAATGAAAATTTTCATTTGGAAAGAATGGAAAAAAAGATATAGAGTATGGTCCAATCTGCTACACATATTACACAGCTCAAGCTTGAAAATGCAATATGATCTGTTATTGGACGCAATTGCACAATCTCAGTTTCAGAGCAAATTCTACCAAACAGGAAATTCATGATGTGACTCTAAGGAGCATAGGAATCATGTTGAAGGAGTGTGCCAAAGATGAACATTTCCTAAAAACAGAAATTATTTGGCAAGTATGAAATTGTGTTACAAACAATTTTAAAATCACACATGCACACAACACAAAAAAAACCCCAAAAACCCTATAACCATCACCTATTTATTTCTAGACCAAGACTTATGAAAAATCTAAAGTATACAATTTATCATATGGCATGATATTTTGGTTTTTCATTGACTAAATATGTATTTAAACCAAAAGATACTTGAAGAATAGAATGGACTAGCTTGTGAAATGGTAAGCTATAAAGTGAACTGTTTAAACTGGGACAGAAGGAACATTTGTTGGGAACACTGCAGAAGGAGTTTTGCTTTTGGTGAAAGGCTGAAGTAAACAATTTGAAAAGTCCTTTCCAATTCTAAGAATCCAAACTAAAAAACTTAATTATGCTACATAAAGAACTGTTATGGTAACATACTTTCTATACAATTCTACTTCTATACAATTTCTATACAATTAGTTACAATTAATCAGAGCCAATGACCTCTTTCAAACTTCTCCATTTTCTTGTTTTCCTGAAGCAAACCATTCTGCACCTGTTTTCTTAGCAGTAAATGTGGAAAGTTCTGTGTACAGTAGTAAATGCACCATGGTATGGAACTTTTACAATACTGTGGGTAAAGTGAATTGAATATTATCCCAATCGTGCAAAAATATAACTCCTGTCACTGTGAATGGCCATTTTTCATCTTAGGGATGTCACACTGTGCCCATTTTTCCGGAGTCAAACGAAAATGTTTTGTCAAGAACTTTACAACAGTCGAATAAAAAACGCTAAAATGCTTTCAATTATCCCATGGAACTCTAAAATTACAATAGTCTTGTAGATGCCTTCTTTTCATTAAGAAGAAAAAAAATTCGCTTCCAACCAGGCTCAGGTTGCAGTCAACATTAAAAATAGGCAGGCTTGCAGAAGTGTATTCAAAATTTCAAGTACAAAGGGTTGCAAATAAGTGAAATCTCATCAAATATGTCCGTTTTCAACAGATGTTTGCAAAAGAGACCAGATTCCCCCCTCCCCAATCAGGCACAAAACCCATCGGGGTTTGCTACCCGAGAACAACGTCTTATTAATTCTCCCATTCTTAGACTGCTTCCCCATGTTTGGCCTGTCTGTAGCCCGTGCCAGATCTGACACACTGCAGGGGCGGGTGGGGAACGGACACGGACACCCGCCGAAGCTGGAAGAGATCAATAAAGGGCCGAGCTCGCATTTTGCTGATGTGACTTCCTCGCTAAGCTGACCTCCCATTCCCATCTTCCCAGCAGCTCCACGGGGTGGGGGTTAAAGAGAGAGTCCTCTTGAGCCGACAAGCCGGGCCGTCTGGTCTCCAACCTACTAATGAAAATTGCTCTACGTACGTGCAAACGAGTTGTCATAACCTTGCTCGACTGTGCAAGAGGAGGCACGAGAGTGTGCAGGAGAGGGTGTGCAGGAGGGAGCAATGCCCTATCCGAGGTGGGGGGGAATTCCTGCCGCTTGGTGCATCCCTGAGCTCCTGGGAGGCAAGCTAGAAACTCCGGCCCCGTCCCACCCTCCAGCTCGGGATACTCACCACACGGATCCATAGGCGCCTGAGCCCACCGGGGACAGGTTCTGGTAGCGCTCGGGCACCTCCCAAATGGTCTTGTTCAGCTCCTGCCGGTAGAACTTAGGCCTCTCCTGAGACATCTTCCACCGACGGCTGCAGCGAAGGAGTGGCGGCCCAGCGGGAGCCAGCCAGAGCCTCCGCCCGCCCGCCCGTCCGGGCCGGGCCCCCCCGCAGCCCCCCGGCGCTCCGCAGGTGCTGCAGCCGCGACGGCCCCCGCCGATCCCAGCTCCCGCAGCCGCTGTCAGCGGGGGCGCGCGGCGACTCTGCTCACCCCCGGGGGCCCTGGCCACGGGCAAGGGTGGCTCCTCACACTAAGGACTCGGGACTGCGCCCACCTTCCTGCTGCTTCCCTCCCCAACCCGAAGGCTGGGGCGGGGGAACTGGAGCGGGGTGACGAAACGGCCGGTTTCTCCGCCTGGAGGTTACGGCTGCAGCAGCGGCTGCAGCTCAGGCTCCGACGGCAGCTCCCGCGCCAGCTGCGGCTCCAGCGCCTGCAAATCTACGAGCTCCTCCCCTCCCCCCACCCCCCGCAGACGGGAACTCCTGGACGTGGTCTCGCGAGAGCCTCGCGCGGGGTGGGTCGGGGGAGGTCCTCCGCGAGCCCAGATTTTACCCAATATGGAACCTGCTCGCGCGGGGTACTGGGGGAAGGCAAGGGATGCCGGAGGGGGAGGGCGAGGAGGAGGAGGAGGAGGAGGAGGAGGAGGAGGAGGAAGAAGAGGAGGAGAAGGAGGAGGAGGCGTGTTCTCGCGAGAAGCAGCTCGCGGACGCCTCTGCGTCCCTTCCCGGAGCCCGGCGCTTGTTTCTCGGCAGGGCGGGAATAGGAGCGGATGAGGCCTATGGCGTAGTCCTGTGGGAGAGATAAGCAGACGGGGGTTTTGGAGAGAAGGCCCTCATTCCTCCCGGTGCACATTTATTGACAAGCGTCCAATCCCGCCGGCCTGCCTGGGCAGGCCTAGAGAGGGAGAAACGCGGCGCCCCTTCGCTCCGCCTCTGCCGGGACAAACCGGTGGCTTCGGTACAAGTGCGGGCACCACCAGCCTAGTCTCCGTCCGGGGCCTTGCAGCCTAAGTGGACTCTTCTTGACGGAGAGACCCAGATGTCCCCTGGGCAGATTAACCACGAGCCTCAATTCCACAATCATTTATTACATCTCTTGAGGCACTGGCGGAGATGCCGAGGATACAGATTTTGCCTCGAGATGCTGGGTGTCCTCGGGCACATCCCTTAATCTCTCAGCCGCAGTTTTCTGGTCCGTAAAACGGAGATAACAATAGCACCTAGCCACAGGACTGATGGATGGATCAAATTCAATTCAATAAACGTTTATTAAGTGCCTACTATATGCCAGGCACTGTGCCAAGCGCTGGGGATACAGGCAAAAGACAGCCCTTGCCCTCAAGGGGCCTACTTTACAACCTAATGAAATTAATGAGTTAACAAGTGAAGTGCTTTGCAGTTCTAAAACGATAGAATTCTCCCAAGCCTCCGGGAAGCTGACAGCCTATGTAGGTTGGTTGACAGGACTGAATACATAAATGCCTTTAATGCAAAACTGTACATGATAAGGAGGAAAGAACTAGGGGAAAGGCCTTCGGCAAGTTGGAAAGATCCTCTGGAGAAATTTATGTAAAGAAATGGACAGGGGCAGCTGGGTGGTGCAGTACATAAAGCACCAGCTCTGGAGTCAGTAGGACCTGGGTTCAAACCTCAGACATTTGACACTAGCTGTGTGACCCTGGGCAAGTCACTTAACCCCAATGCCTAACCCCCCCAAAACAAAGAAAGAAAGAAAGAGAGAGAGGAGAGAGAGAGAGAGAGAAAGAGAGAGAGAGAGAGAGAGAGAGAGAGAGAGAGAGAGAGAGAGAGAGAGAGAGAGAGAGAGAGAGAGAGAGAAATGGACAGGAATGACCCCATAGTGAGAAAGCATGGATGGACTGCCATCTGCAGCCTGGGAGAAAAAGTACTGAATTGGAGGGAAAGAGCTGCAAACAGCACTATGTCGGGTACCAAGAGGTAAAGAAGGATTTTTAAGGCCTAGGGTGATGAGTGAGGGCTTTCTGGAGGAGGTGGCATTTCAACTGGATTTTGAATGTGGGGATGTGGTTCCATGCTTTGGGCACAGCTTCAAAACAAAACACTAGCAGTGTGAAAGAAAAAAGGATTGCAAGAAATGCAGTTTCCTGTGATAAAATATTTTGACTTGATTTGAAGCACCTAAATTCAAGTTTCCATCAAAATTACCAGTCTAGAATTCTAGTAAGACCTTTCAAGGCTTCCAATTTTGACTGTATCTGAGGTTTCTTCTATATGGGTATTAGCTCCATCATTTGGGTGGTAATTATTCCTCCACACAAGTCCACCAGACATTTTGGGTGCCTTCCTCTGTATCTCTTGAAGTGTGCCAATGGAACACTTGGATCATCCATTTTTATCTCTCATTGTCACTGTGTAACCTACCTATTTCCTCTTCCAATTGGACCTCTTTAATTTTTTCAAACTCTTTAGTTTTTACATCATTTACGTTACCCAACGTGGCCTTTCCCACACACACTTTAAAAAAAAAAAGGGAAAAAAAGGAAAAAAAGTTCAGCAAAACTAACCAACACATCCAAAATTTTCACATTATCTATAGTGTTCCCCACCCATGGTCTTTTTCATATCTCCTTTTGGCAAATTGGATCAGTTATTATACTTTCTCAGCATTCAGTTTTAATTGGGTTTTTTTTCCATTAAATTGTTGTAGTTGTATAAATTGTTTTCCTGCTTCTGCTTGCTTTACTTTGCATCAGTTATGTATTTTTATGTAATTCTCTCTAGTCATTATAGTTATTGTTTCTTATCACAGTCAATCAGTCAGTAAACATTTATTAAGCTCCTACTATGTGCCAGGTACTATGCTAAGTATTGAGGTTATGACACAGAGTTCACAATCTAATAAGGGAGACAAAAAGCAAACAAATAACAAACAATCCATATACAGGATAAATGGGAACTAATTAAAGAGGAAAGGCACTAGAAATAATAGAGGTTGAGAAAGTCTTCCGGTAGATGGGACTTCAGTATATATTTGATGGAAGCCAGGAAAACCAGTAGGAGAAAATGATGAGGGAGAGTAATATTTCATTATATATCATTATTTACCACAGTCTGTTTAGTCACTCTCCAGTTAGTGGGTATCTACTTTGTTTCCTGTTCTTTGCTACCACAGAGTTCTGTTATAAATATTTTGGTATATATGGAGTCTTTCTTTTTTGTCATTGACCTACTTGGGGTATATATGCCTACTATGGAATAACACTAGAACAAAAGGTATAGGAGTTTTAGTCATTTTCTACAAATAATTCCAAATTGCTTTCCATAAAATAGACCTCCTCACAGCTCTGCCAACCAATGCATTAGTGTGCCTATCTTTCCACAACCTGTTGGACATCAACTATTCTCATTTTTTGTCACTTTTGCCAATTTGCTGTTTATAGAGCGAAACTTTGGAGTTCTTTTTGATTTGCATTTCTCTCATTTTTAACTAATTGTATCTTTTTTCATATAGTTCTTGCCAGTTTGCAATTCTTTTGAGAATTTTTGACCACTTATCTATTGGAAAATGACTTTTGCTTTTATGTATTTCTCTTGCTGACCATGTATTTTGGATTTCAAGCCCTTATTAGAAATATTTGATGTAAAGATTTTCTCTTTAGTTGACAGCTTCCCTTTTCCTAATGGCATTAATTTTGTTTTTGCAAATTTCACCTAATTAAAATGTCTATTTTATTTTTTATAATCACTGCTATCCTTTGTCTGACTATTCATCCCCTAGCCTCAAACTCTCTCAGCCTTCATATTTAATTTTTTTATTTCATTGTCCATTTGTAGTGTATGTTAAAGCTAATATATATGCCCTGATGAACCTATGGGCTCTTACTCTAATAGCTTATTATATCATAAACTGGACAGTAAGCATCTTTATACACTTTATTTTTCCACATGGGTAATTAGGATAAACTCTTTTAAGTGATTATGGATCTCATTTTAGAAGTTTCACAGTGTCATCTGTAAACAAGGGCATTTGTATGACCTCACCATCTATAGGAGATTGATTCCTCTTTCATTTAGGCTCTGTGCTAGACATCTCCATGATAATGGCAAACACTTTTGATAAGTCTAGTTCTGTTTTAGGCCTCACTTTAATAATAAGGGGGTAGACCTAGCTATCCCAATTGTACTTTTCAAGGAATGTATGAGTTTAATATATGCAGGGGAGGCACCTTGTTGGAAGAGAGACTCTGAAGTAGCATTTTGCTCTACCAAATAAAATGCTTTTTTTTTAAAGTCACAAACAATAAGCATAATAGGATCTTGTCTTCTCTGTACCTTTCACACAACTGTACGAAGATGTGATCTGCTTTAGACCATAGTTTGGGAAAGCTTGCCTTTTCTCATACCTTCATCAAGGTTCATGGGATACATGGGTAGATTATTCTCATAAAGACCATGTAGAAGAGTTGGAAAAAATCTGTATGTGATTCCATAATTATTGCTATTTTGGCTATCATCTCTTTTCAGTGGTAACAACACACAAGATTTCTCCCCTAACCTATAGGATATTCCTCTCTCAGATATTTTGAGAAATAATCTCTCAGTGCCCTCAAAATGGTCACCTTCAGCATGGAGCTCTTTTATATACACTTGGTTTGCTCCATCTGCTCTTTCTGATTTTGTTTCCATTTCTTCATGTAGCCCATTAAGATTATGATATAAGAACCAAAATGTGGTGACTCCCCTATTATCAAAGGAAAAAATAATTTTTTTCATATAGGTCTTATACATCTCTTATTTAATCTGTTTAAATTTCATCTATAAATGTTCCTGAGATGATATTGATGCAGTTTGGGGTTGCCGGGAACCCCAAAATGTCAAGGTACAGGGTGGCTTCCACCTGGAATGAATTCATGCGCTTTGTGACAAGTAGTACCCTCAGAAGAAATGACAAGTAAGCCTAGATTTAAATTTACCTCAGTAAGGTTTACTGATGAGTTGATATTCAAAGTTTGTATTACACTTGGCTGTTGAAATCTCTCCCTTTGGCAGAGAGACCGTTTGTGTGCCAGGGTGGTTTCTAGGAGTTTTGGGCTTTCTTGTTATAGTAATTAGACTAAACTTCTCTAGGAAATAGTGTTTTAGATCATCATCTATTTAGTTTGCTAATAAAGAAAGTAAGATATGTGTGTGTGCATATGTGTGTATATATCTTATGTAAAACAGATATATTGCCCGTGGGATTAAGTAGCTCTCAGTACTATAAACTATACGGACTCCATCCATAGTGTTTGTAATATTGAGAAACCATCAATTCAAAGAAGGATACAGTACCAAAAAAAAAAAAGTTTACAGACTATGCTTTATAGAAAGGATTCTGTTCATGTACTTTTTGTAAAGTGAGTGTTCTTTATCCAGTCTGATGATCTTTCTTAGGCAGCCCTCAGTTGATGATTTCCTTTATATTCATACCAAACTGAAGCTCTTAC